GTAAATGAATCCTTTTTTCTTCAGTAGCTTGGATCATAAAGTGAAAGCTTATTTCTTTATCTTATTTAAGAAATAGTAACTAAAGGTCATTAAGAAAGCAATGAATATTTTTCTGAATTCCAGATTACTTCATCTGATGAGAGCAAAACTATTAGTTGTTGCTTTTATACCTGAACCTTTAATACCATGACATTTGTTGTCATAGAGTGTAAAGGAAAGGGGGAAGGGGATGAAGGGTAGGATGACAGGGAAGCAATAAAGTGGTCAAAAAGGAAAAAAGAAGGGGGAGAGAGAAGCAGACTTATCGAAGCATTTTTTAAAAATTATATAGAAATGAATAGAAGGATGACTAGAAGGAACCTTAGACTAGTAAGATCACTTAGTCACACATTGAATTTATTATATATTTCAGACAAAAGCAATCTAGACATAATAAAGGTCTTCAGTTTTCTGTACAATCCTCTCTTTCTGCTCTCCCTTGTATATGGAAATATTCATTTTATTAAAGTTCAGAATTAAAAAAAAATAAAGAGAGGTAAGACTAGGATTCTGGAGCCCTTGGCTCAGAACCTGGTTCTGGTTGTGGCACTAGGTTGGTTATTGTTTGTCCTTTGTTTTTGAAAAGGATCAATGATATCAAGAGTGATGACTTCTGCTTGATTGGATTTAAGTGAGGCGGAGTAGTAAACTCATCAGCCTCACTCTCTCTTTCAGAGTTATCGAAGTCCAGTGGCAGGACAAAAGTCAAGATGATTGGCAATGACCCAAGATGGTGTCTTTGATACCTGATCAAGCTCTAAGCGTTCCATGACGCCTGCTTCAGCCAACTTCACAGTTTTTGGAACAAATTGTTCTCATCTGCTCATTCTGCTGGGGGAAGTCTTCACATGCTTGGGGTAGGACATTCCAGTAACTCACTGATGGGTCTAAGGCTCGCCAGTTACCCTCAACCTAGTTTAGCCCATCTGCTGGGAAGGTTTTATCAGTATGTGGCTGCTGAGCATGGTATAGCTTCTTACAGCCACAGGTGAGAGTTGGGTGGAGGTGGACGCTAAAGGTGGATGAGCAGCCCTGAAAAGGGCCTAGCCAGCCCTCCCACCAGAAGTGCTAGTCCTCCCTGAACACCCCGTATACCCCGGCTTGGTTGGTATTGACTTTGGCAACGTACTTCATGTCTCGATTTGTGTTTGACATTCTTTGAGTCTCTTCCAGCTTTGACAATCCGTGTTCTTCATTCACAGACCCCCTCCAGCCTCAACTGCCTATCATTCTACCTTTTTGAACACTTGGAAGTGACACAGAGAAAAATGTGGCCAGTCCAGACCTTGAGGGCTCAGGGAAGCATGGCAGGTGTTATTTATTCATGAAGGTGCTAGGTAAAAAGATGTCTGTATTATTAGATTACCAAAGCAAGCATTTAAAAGTCAAATAATTTGGTCCAATTGCTTTTTGGAATGTAGAATAGACAGAGACCAAAACTCAGCCTGAGTATTTAGAAAATAAATCATCCCTCACCAGGCTAGACACTCCTTTCCCAGGCTAACTGAAAAGAATATGAGTATGTGAGTCAAGGCTAAGATAGAAGATAGAAAACATTCAGAGAAGAATTATCATAATGGCGAAGGTTCTTGGGATTCATACCTCATTAAGACTGGATTGCCCAGAGAAAAGAAGACTCAGCATGGCCATGATAGCTGTCTTCTAGTACTTGAGGACTTGTCATATGGAAGAGGGATTATACCTGTTCTGCTCAGTCCCACAGAGCAGATCTGTTATAAAGAGACCTATTTGGTCTTGGTATAAGGAAAAACTTCCTAACACTTGGAACTATGCCAAAGTGCAATGGATTGCCATAGAAGACAGTGTGGTCCAGTGGGAAAATCCCTGGTTCCAGAGGCAGAGGACCTAGTTTCTTTTCCCACTTCAGATATTTACCACATGTGGCTTGGGGCAAGTCACTAAATCTCTTCAGGCCTCAGTTTCCTCATCTTTAAAATGAGGAGGGTAGACTAGAAGTCTGTGGAGGTCCCTTCTGACCCTTGATCTATGATCCTATGTCTTCCCCTCACTAGAGGTCTTGGGAATGTTGTTGAGGGGATTCTTGATCAGGTATGGGTTGACCAAGATGGCTTCTGAGATCTTTTCTAACTCTGAGATTCTGTCACTTAATTTCATTTTCCTCCTCTGTAAAATGGAAATATTTTCATTATATACTTCAAGGGGATGTTGGAAGAATCAAATAAGAAAAGGCATAGGCACGGGGCAGCTAGGTGGCACAATGAATAGAGTACCGGCCCTGAAGTCAGGAGGACCTGAGTTCAAATCCGGCCTCAGACCAAACACTGACACTTACTAGCCGTGTGACCCTGGGCAAGTCACTTAAGCCCAATTGCCTAAAAAAAAGGGGGGGGGGGCATAGGCAGTCCTTTATAATTCTAAAGATCTATTTGAATGTGATTTGTTGTTATTCACTCATGTATTAAGCACCCTGGGTTTTCAAAAGCCATACCAATGGAGCAAAATGCTAGTAAGGTTAACCATGCTGAAAAGCTTTGAATATAGTCTCAGCAGGACCAGTCCAGTTAAATATATAAGGCTCATCACCAATAGATTGCTCCCTTGATGGATGAAGTCTTTGCCCATGGCTGCCTATGACCTAAAGGAAAATACAAATGGGCTCTTAGTCACATATGGTTGCCATTTGTTTCTATCATGGTAGTTACAGAATTTCAGGAAAGGTAACAGAGGATGGTAAACAACTACCCATAAATATTTGTTTAATTTTTGATACCCTAAATGTGAGGTCTTAGTCCATTTGAATCACATCAATATCTTTTTATTAAACAAACTAGAAGATAAAAAAATTATGTAGCTAAATGGAAAGATGGCTTACAGGTTCTCCTTGGAAAGGCAAATAAAGGAATGGATTTTTTTGTGCATCTAAATGCAGTAAAAACAAACAAAAAAATAAGACAAAACAAAACAAAAAAAAAAAACATGTCATGGGCTCCCTGGTCATATAGCTTTGCAATTTGTATGATAATTGCATGCAAAGAGAAATGGACATAACTACAGGCAATGTTCTTACATCAATTGCACAGAATGAGGGGGCAAAGCAAGTTTATAAAGGACAAGCTAAGACCCTCTAAAGTAAACCAATATTAATACTTGGTGACTTAAATGCAAAAGTAGACATAACAAAGGACAGTGAAAAACTATGTTAAAATACAGTTCTAAAATAAGAAATGAGAGAGGCTAGAACCTTATGGACTATTCAGAAAACTTATGAGTGTATATCACAAATATTTTCATCAAGAGGAGAAGAAGAATGAAGGAGATGGTTTCAGAAAAACCTGGAAAGACTTAAATGAACTGATACAAAGTGAAGTGAGCAGAACCAGAAGAATATTGTACATAGTAACAGCAATGTTGTAATGATAATTAACTGTAAAAGACTTGGTGACTGATCAAGACAATTATCTAAGACAATTCCAAAGGACCCATAATGAAAATTGCTATTCACTTCCAAAGAGAGAACCAATAAACCCTGACTGCAGATTGAAACACACTTTTTTCACTTTATTATTCTTGCTTTTTTTTATTTTTGCAACATGATAAGTATGGAAATGTGTTTTGCATGACTCCACATGTCTAATTGGCATTGCATTGCTTGCCTTCTTAATGGGTAGGGGAGGAGGTGGAGGGAAAAAGAAAATTTGGAAATTTAAAAATGAATAAATAATAGTGTTCTTTTCACAAGAGGCTGAGCCCCTCACTCTACCCAAATCACATAAATAAGTAAAATTGATTGTATTGATGAAATAGGAATTCATCCTGATGTGGGTCATTACTGAATTAGTTGTCTGAGTATGATCCAGCCATTAAGTTGGGGGAGCAAAAATTAAAATATACATCAAATTAGAACAAAGGATCAAATTGAGAAGATATGGCATTTTATTGGGTCAACTTTAACTTGAGATGTTTAATCAGTGTTGATGCTGAAAAAAAAAAGAAATAGATAAAAACAGGTATTGACACGGACTATTAATATTTCCTAGGGAAGTTTGTCCAGCTCTAACTTTCTATGAGTTCCAGTTCTAAATCAGCATAAGAAACTGATAATTGGAGAATCCTTGTCTCTTTATAGACTAAAGAGCTGAGGTATGAGATATATAAGTAAGGGGTGATAGAGAAATATCTAAGCAGTTGAAAGACAGAATGAGCAGTCCTAGCTCTGGTGTAATCAAACAATGACTCTCATTTGGAAGGCTGTGTGACAAGTGAATACTGGATTTAGAGTTAGATGAGCTGAGTTTAAATCTTGGCTCTATATTACCTTTGGCAGATAAATGACCTTATCAGGAACCGTTTCCTCAGAGGTTCTTAGCTGAAGGAATCCCTGACACAACAAATTTATCTGGCTAAGCCTTTGGACCCCTTCTCAGAATAATGTTTTTAAGTACTTAAAATGCATAGGAATGGAAAGGAAAGCAATTATGTTGACGTAGTTGTCAAAAATTAAAAAGAAAAACAAAATGAAGTTCATAAGTTACCTGGTTAAGAACTCCTGGATGACATCATCTTTCAGACCTTTTTCTCTTCCTCTGATCTATATTTTTAAAAATTTTTCTAGGCTCTTGGGACAAATGTTCCATTCAATATCCTGAGTCCTTTGCTGTTTTCAGGACTCTGCTTCAGATGTTTCTTCCTATAAGAAAAGATTCATCAAAATGATGTCTTTTCTTATCTACAGCTGTTACCACACACATTTAGAATGCTGAACTGCTTAACACTGTCTCATTTCCATATTCCCAAGTAATGTTTAACCTCCAGTAAAAACCTGGGAGATAACAGAGTGTGTTATCTGTACAGCTTAATTCCACCCCTGTTGGTTATTAATTTCTGAATATCTGAATTCTTGTTCATAGAAGAATGTACTTCAGTGACTGCACTGAAAGCCCCAGGCTCAGGTCGGATTTCAAGTTCTTGTCCTGGACTGTGAGTGACAATGATTGAAATCTGCTTTGGGTTCCATTGCTGAAATGCTTCCTGATCCAAAGAGTATCTGCACGAGCTCCATTCAGTGCTTCTAGACCCTGGTGACTGTTAAGGTCTGAGTGTTCCTTCTCCTGGACAAAAGACTAGCCATTTGTGGGCATCATCCCTGATCCCATATTCTTTGTAAGGACTGGACTCAGAGAGAGCATTTGCCCAGCACCATGTCAGGAGGGCGGGCGGGTCCCCAGACTAAGAACTTTGAAGCTTGGGATTATGTTGTATTTGCAGCTCTTTTTATCGTTTCTTCAGGAATCGGAGTGTTTTTTGCCATAAAAGAAAGGAAGAAAGTGACTTCTGGGGAGTTTTTATTGGGGGGCAGGCAAATGAGCTGTGGTCCGGTGGCTTTGTCCTTGACTGCTAGCTTTATGTCAGCAGTCACTGTCCTGGGGAGTCCTGCCGAGGTTTATCGGTTTGGGTCATCCTTCCTGGTTTTCTTCTTTGCGTATACATTTACCATCATCTTTACGTCCGAGCTCTTTCTGCCAGTTTTTTACAGGTCTGGGATCACCAGCGCTTATGAGGTAAGGGAAGTCATCATTGTTTGGAATGTCTAGATTAATTGCTAATATGTCAGCCAGCCAAGTTCTCCACGTGGGTCTCCATTCCCACAAATCGTGCCTGCATATAGTGAGATGCTTAATAAATATTTACTGAATGAGTGGATGGATGAGTAACGTGCACAGTCTTCGTACTAAGAATATGCACAGTGCTTAAACTTAGTGCTATAAACTTCTTAAGGCATTGTCACATCTTTCCTCTTGTTTGGTCCCTGTGGGTCAATAGTCTAGATTTGGTGGGTGGGAATGGGTGCTGGCCCAGGGTATACTGGCAAATGTTTAGCCAATTGGTTCTTTGGAACATTTAATCTGCATTTTTAACATTTTCCCCATCATTTTCTTAAATCTAGATAATCAACAAAACAATAAATTAAGTCCTAATTTGCAGCATTTGCCAACTTTCAAGGTGTAAATGTGAATTTAACGATCAGTTCTCCTAAGCCAGTTTGAGCTGGCTCCAGAACATCCTTGGTACTGGTTTAAATTTGCACCAAACTCTGAATTTTCCAAACTCACAACAGCTACAGGAGGCGATGATATATTTTTGTCAAGACTGCTCAGTTTTTAGAAGATACCATTTGGTCCCAAAGAGATAGGCAGGATAAGAATGATCTTCATCTCCATTTTACATGTAGTGAAACTGAGATACAGCTAAGTCACTTGCCCAAGGTCACATAAGTAGTTAGGGACTAAACCTATAGGATAATCTAGTCTTCTTGCTCACCCAGCCCAGGATTGTTTTGATTATGTTTTGATGAAGATCTGAGCATTTCACATGGAATCATGGTAATGGAAGGAACCTTAGAAGCCATTGAGGCCAACCTATACCTGAAATAGAATTCACTCTGTAATGTACCTAACAAGTACTTGTCTAGCCTGTGCTTGGGGATTCCCAATGAGAGTGAGCCTATCCATGAGCCATTGGGAGAGTTCTGTTACTGAGTTTCTCTTTGTAAATACAGAATTTCTTTTCAAACACAGATTTATTATTTGGCCTTCAATGTTTCTTTTTCTCCCAACAAATATATATGCACACACACACACACACACACACACATTTACACATACACACATATATTTGAAATGTTATATTTTAAGGCAAAATAAGTGTTTATAGGAAAATTCCCTATGTTACTTAGAAGCAAAAATGGGATATTCTCCCATGGATTTTCCAGGAGTTCACAATAGAAATAACAACTATATAATGTGACTCAGGAATTGAATTTTGAAGCATCCTCACTGATCAATTGTGATAATAACACTCTTCCTTCCACTTTGAATACTCATTACAATGCAAATTTTTCATTTGATAAGGTGGCAAAGGTGAGAGGTGTAACCAGATGTCCATACCCTTAGAAAAGGAAGAATGGTAGGGTAGAGTGCTGGATTTGGAGCCAAAGACCAAGGTTCAAATCCAGATTCTGCCATTGAATCCTTGCATAACCTTGGACGAGTCCCTTTTAACTTCTCTGGGCCTCAGTTTCCTTATGGGTGAAAATAAAGGGGTCGTACTAGATGGCCGTCAAGGGTCCTTTCTAGCTCTGAATCCAGGGTGCTAATTCTATGAATGAACTAGCGAGTCAGATCACTCAATTCAGTCAAAAATACTTGACTATTTTTAACAGAATGGACTACATTCACTTGAATTTAACTAAACTGTTAATTGTGCATATAGATTAATGTTTTGACAGATACCCCTACTATATCTACTGTGAAGATCAAATGAAATTACATGCCAAGAATGCCTTCCAAACTTTGCTCAGACCTTCCCCCAGGTGTGGAATGTCTTCTCCTCTCATTATCTGGTTGAATCTCCAATGTACCTCCAAAGCTGAGCACAGGTGTGCAGGAGCACAGACAATTTTTCCCAATCTCTTTGCCACACACATGCCCAGTCATTAATGCTCTTCCCCTCTTAAAATTACTTTGTCTTTTCTTATTTTATTTGTATGTTGTGTTCCCCACCCCCCAACTCCCCCTCACCCCTGCTTCCCTCACACATACAGAATATGAACTCCATGAAGTGTAGAAACAATAGCATTTTTGTACCTAAGTCTGCACCTTATTCATGTTAAGGGGCTTAATAAATATTTGTTAAATTAGATTGAATAGGCATTGCAGTAAAATGAAAAGAACATAGACCTGGGAATCAGAGAACCAGGGTTCAAAACCTGCCTCTGATAACTACCTGTGTGGCTTTGGGCAAGTCATTTATCCTCCCTAGGCCTCAGTTTCCTCATCTGTAAAACAAGGAGGAAGTTGCATTAGATGGATGGCCTTTGGGGTCCTTGCCAGCTCTAAATTGATTGAGGATAATATGAAGTCACTATGATACACATGGAATTAAAAAAGAAGAAAAAGTCAATATACCCTTAAATATTGTCTTTCCCCTCGAATATGTTCTTTCTTTTGATTTACTGTTTCTGAGTGATATCACCATTTACTTAGTCTTTGCTGTTGGCTGTTGGTTACCTTTGGGTTAGCTTTGCTTCTTTCCTCTCCCTTCCCCATCATACCTGAAACATTACCAAGACTTTTTATTCTTCTTCTACAGCACCCTGATGTCTTCTATATGCTATCCCCATTTCTACCACCCTAGCTCAGGTCCCTCGTTAATACCCATCTGGTGTATAGAAAAGCCTCATAACAGATTTTTCTTATTCCTCTCTCTCCTTTCTCCAATTCATTTGCTGCCAAAATAATCTTTCCTATGTATGGAACTGCTCGTGTCAGACTTTTGGTCAAAAATATTCATTGAGTCTCCATTGCCTACTTAGTAAAGTTCTAGCTTCTTCATCTGACTTTCAAGGCTTTCTATAGTTTATCACCATATTGCCTTTCTAGCTTTAGTTCATATTGCTTTCATGTTACTTGCTTTCTAGACAAACTAGACAACTCTCTGACACCCAGACTCTCTTTGCCTTTTCTGACATTAGTCTGATGCCTGGAAAACCAGCCCTCCCTCACTTCTTCTGTTGAATTCCTGTCTTTCCCACACTTAGTTGAAATGCTACCTCCTGCAAGAAGGGACTACTGCTCATCCCTGACAAAGTGAACTCCAGAACCAGTTCCCCTCTCTTTTCTTTGGGATTGGCTCCATGTCTTATGAAGCACACCATTTTACAAGAATATAATCATTGTGAATCTGAGAAGTAAGGATTTCAGAGGAGAGCCTAGAGTCCTCAATGGCCTTAAAAGAAAACAAGTTGGGAAGATAATTCAAGGTGGATGGTGGTAAGAATTTGGAGTTATTTGGCAGAGATAGTTTCTCTAGGTTCGTTTTCTCCATGTGAAAAGATTGGATTAATGATTCCTAAGGTCCCTGAGCCCCGCCGAGTCTGTAACCTCTGTTGGAATGGAAGAAAGGCCAGTTGACTTAAGGGCTGGGATGCAAAGGTCTTTCAGATCCTTTCATAGGATTCCTAGGTGAAAGGATTCAGTTCAGTTCAAAACAATTGACAAAAATGTATTAAGTGCCTACTAGGTGTAAAGCACCTGTTCCCAAGACCATTCAACCAATGATCTTCTCCCCACCTGCCATCCTACCATAACTCACCCTGGTCTGAAAGACATTATAGTCCTCTGGAAGCTGGGTTTTATCCTCCAAATACCTCATTTTACAGGTGAAGCAACTGAGCCATAGTCTTGCTCAAGGTCACACATTAGCTCTGGAATCTGATCCCTGTTCCTTCGACTCCAAATCCAGTTTTTGTTTTTTTTTTTGTGCTACTGTTTCAAATCAACCCTCCTTCCCCAGTGTTTCTCTTAACATACTTAAGAGGTGTGTGTGTGTGTGTGTGTGTGTGTGTGTGTGTATACCTTCACAAAGCTTACAATCTGGTGGAGGGGATAAAAACAAAGAATTGAAACAAAGCAACATGACCTAGTGACTATGATGGACAGAGAAATTAACATAGAAATCTAGAGAAAGGAAAGATCAGGACCTTTCAGGGGAGATGAGGGAAGTCTACATGGAAAAGGTGGTGGGAGAAAAGGTATTCCAAACAAGAGGAATAACTTCAAAGGTGTAGGGAAGACACAAGCTCAAGAAGGAAGGAGAATATAGCAAGTAATTCCATTTTGGAGTAGTGGAAGTCAAGGCAGAAGAGTAGGCTGGGGACAGATCAACAATGCCAGAGCTTAGAATTCATTTTGCAGCTCAATGAAAGGCCATTGGAAGTTTCTGAGTATGCTAGTGATCTAGTCAGACCTGGGTTTTAGGAAGATTAATTTGTCATTAAGTGTGTTGGATGGATGTAATGGTGGGGAAGTTCCGGGAAGGGAGGGCCAACAAGGAAGGTCTCCTAAGTCTAGCTGATAGCTCTGATTAAGATTGGTCTCAGTGGAAATGGGAAGGAAGGAATGGATTTTATAGCATGAAATAAACACACAGAAGGAAAACACCACATGGAGAGATGCTGCATGGAAGCAAATTTTAGCTCAGTATCAAGAAAAACTTGTTAACAGAGTTTAAAAAAAAAAAAAGAAAGAAATGAAATGGACTGCCTGGAATGGTAGTGAGTTAAGTATTGCTGGAGGTGTTCAAACTGAGGTTAGCTGGCTTATTAAAGTTGTTCCTGTCCATGTAGGGGTTGAATGAGAAGACTTCTGAGGTCATTTCTTACTTTCACAGTCTGTGATTCTTGGGCTCATGAGATCATAGATGTAAAGTTGGAAGGGACCTTAATGGTTAACGAGAACCCAATTCACTCATTTTACGTGTAAGAAACTGAGGCATATAAAGGTTATAACTATATAGATGGAATGCTAGCAATAAGGAGCTGTGTCATGGCCAGGGTAATAGAACTGATAAATATCTCAAGGTAGGATTTGAACCTGGGTCTCCTTAAATCTCAGTGCAGTGGTTGATCTGTTATACCATCTGTTACACTGGCTCCTAGGTTAGTTCTGGCTAAAGCATTGTTGATTTTTTTATATATTTTCTTTTTGTTTCCTTTAGTACTTACATTTAAGATTTAACAAGGTGGTCCAGTATGCTGCCACACTTATCTACATAGTGCAGACGGTAAGAATCATTTCAAATTTTGGGTTTGGGTGCTGGGGGGAGGTGAAGAGGGAATGTTTATGGGAATATATATTTTCCCCAGCCCCTGATGAGTGATGAGATTCCATTATTCCAGTTAGGTTGGCAAATAAGGCCAGCTTCTTGGTACATGGGTAGAATTTACAGAGATCCATAACTATAGATCCACAGCTAAAATAGGAAAGGTGGGCAGATGCTAAGGGCATAACATAGAACATTTTGAATATGACTTCTTTTTATCCCATGTTTTCAATTCCAAAACATCCCACTCTCTATGACACATGGAGACCTAGACAGGTAGTGTGTCCTAGTGGATGGTGAGCTGTCCTTGGACTCAGGCCTTAATTCCCCCCAGACAATGCTCTAAAAATCTAAATTGTAGTTCAAGTCAATTGACATTGGTAGGAGTTGCTTCACCAAGGAGCTCCCTGCATTAGTGAAATAGCAAATATGGTAAGAAACAAACAAATAAATGAATGGTGCATGGAGTCATGTATGTTCAAAACATATGCTCAGAGTTGTTAATGAACAACAACAATAATAAACCTACTCTTGAAAGAGCAAAGTTGAGTTCAGCTTTTCATTGGGAGTGGGAGGAGGACAAGGTTTTTTCAAGGTTTTCAAGGTTACACGGATGCTTTGTCCTGGCTCTGCCTCACTGCTCTGAAGCAAGTCTATAGTTCATAGACCTACTCATTTTATCCCTTTTCATTTATGGGTTGTAAATTCATTACAGGAGCTACAAATAAGTAACCTGTCTTCTAAGACTTTAGTCTAATAATTTCCCGTAAAAAAAAAAAAAAAACCAAACCCAACCACCTAGAACATTGTGAGGCATCCTCAGTGAAATTTGTGGTCACTTAGAAGAGATAAATCTAATGATTCATATGGTGCATAAAGAATGCCTGTTATCTAGATTTTGAAATGTCCACCCTCCATTCAGCCACTAGTATGATTTTCAGGTCCAATCATGTCGCACCCCCATCAATAAACTCTAGTGTCTTCCTTGGTATTTAAAGCCCTCAATAACCTGGCCCCTTCCTACCTTTCCAGTTGTCTTATACCTTATTCCCTGATATCTACTCTTTGGTCCAGTGACAATGACCTCCTGGCTGTAGTCAGGGAGGGAGGAAGAAGAGCATTCCAGGCATGGGGGCAGGGGGAGGGGGTGCCCCGAAGCAGCCAGAGGGACTGTTTTAAGACTGAGAAATGGAGTGTCCTACTCATGGAACAGCCAGCAGGGTAGGAGGACCAAGACATTCCCAATTTCATTGAGTTCTCCCATGGGTTAATTACTTCTCCCTTCCTTATTGTGGTTTCCTTATTTCCTGATGTTTTCCAACTCCTCCCTGTGAGGTGGCGAGTGGGGGCAGGAAAGACACATTGTCTATAGTCATCGCATGTATTGTGTTATGTCCTTTTAAACCCACTGGCTTTGAACAACCAAGCCTATGGCAAGGGTGCTACCACCCTAAAGGAGCGAGACTCAGTAGACTTCTGAAGTGGCCACACTCTATGCTTATAGGCAGCTAGGCAGCCAGTCAACAGCCTCTTTGCCAAGCAACTCTTCCTCACCTCCTTCTCCTTCAGATCCTCTATACCGGAGTGGTGATTTATGCTCCTGCTTTGGCGCTCAACCAAGGTGAGTGGTTAGGAAAATAACGTCTCAGCTGAGCCCTCTTTCTGATTTGTGCAAAATGCATTTAGCACTGATAGGCTATTCTTAAGGCTAAGTGCTGCCATCGATGAAGGCTTTTGAGTCGAGGCCCAGGCTACCACTTTGAACAATTAATTTAGGTGCATTGCTAATTGTTTTGTCTATGTGATTCCAAATAATGTGTCCATAATTATTATTATTTTCATATCTCTTAGTTCTTAAGGCTTATGGGATTTTAGGACTGGATTGTAGCAAGGTAAAATAAAAATTGACCTAAAGTTTTGGAATTATGTACACATACTTTTAGGGTCAGTTAGGTGGTGCACTAGATAGAGCACCAGGCCAGGAGTCAGGAAGTTCTGAGTTAAAATGAAGCCTCAGATACTTAATAGCTGTGTGACCCTGGGTAAGTCACTTAATCCCTATTTGCCTCAATTCCTCATCTGTAAAATGGGGACACATTGGAGAAGGAAATGGCAATCCATTCCAGTATCTTTACCAAGAAAACCCCATGGGCAAACTCTATGGGGTCATGTGGAGTTGAACATGACTGAAAAACTGAATAACAAACCCACAGCTTTAGAGTTAGGATGACCTAGAAGAAAGAAATACACACACACACACACACACACACACACACACGTATATATATGCATATATTTATAATTTTAATGAATGAAAGATCAAAAATATTTATTTTATTCTGTTCAGATTTATTATTTTCCGAAAGCATAGTGATTCTCCAGTATGCCGATGGATATGTGGACCCATCTATGTAGAAATAGTTATTCAATCAATAACTATTTAAAAGGAAGAGATCATACCAAGTTAGAAAGGCTTTGTGTCCAGGCCTGGCAATGGCTTACATGTCTAATGTCCAAAGTTCAGGTTAGCTTCGTGTAGTGGGCTCATCATCAGAGGGCTAGCCACCAGGTGCTGAATTTTTTGCCTCCAGAAACTCCTGTAGGCCATCAATGATAGAGAGATTGTTATGGGTATTAGTGAAGGTGGTGTCCATACCAGTGAAATCATGGGCCTTTGAAGTTGGGGTTAAAAATCAAGGGTTGTTGATTAACCTCATTATTTTATTCAATTGTTAAAATTCATTCAAAATGGCAGTATTTCTTACCAAAGATTTGAATGATTTTAAAATTATGGTATATGGGTAGTTGAGTAGCAGAGTAGATAGAGTGCCAGGCCTAGAAGTCAGGAAGACTCATTTTCCTGAATTCAAATCTGGCCTAAGACATTTATCAGCTGTGTGACCCTGGGCAAGTCACTTAACTCTCTTTGCCTCAGTTTCCTCATCTGTAAAATGAGCTGGAGAAGAAAACAGCAAACCACTCTAATATCTCTGCCAAGAAAACCCCAAATGGGGTCATGAAGAGTCAGACACAATTAAAATGATTGAACAACAAAATTGTGGTGTAACTCTGCTAGTTAAGGGTGTATGTTTAGACCAAAGACAGAAAGGTGTGAAATCTGAGAAAATCTCTTCTAAGTCTTATGGGATTTCAGGACTGGATTGTGGTAAGTAATAATAAGATAAATGTTCCATACCTGATGGATGCTAGTTTCCAAAGGAAGTCTATAACTAGACTTACCCCTTCAAATCAGGTGAACCCTCTTCTGCCTCAGTTTCCCTGGAAAGTTCTCTGTTTGCCTTCCTTAGAGAAACCTCTTATAACTTTTCTTACCTTTCACAGTGACTGGCTTTGATCTCTGGGGATCTGTGTTTGCCACAGGAATTGTCTGCACGTTCTACTGTAGTCTGGTACGTATATTCTGCTCAGAGAAAGCTTCGCCAGCCTAACATGGAATACTGCCAAATCACAACCGACAGAACTCTAATTCTAGGGAGTAAATGACCGTATTTCAAAGTTATGCGGAAAACAAAAAAGCTGGCTTGACTGTTCCTATTTTCCAGATTAAGAATTTTTTTCTTCAAATGTACTTTTATTGACCATCTCTAAAGTAAGCAAGGTCTAAACTTGAGTTGATGCTAGAATATCATGACAAATACTTAGATTTACCAATGGAAAAGTTTTCCTAGGCTATGGCTACATGTCATTCTGGTGATACCTGCTTTTTCTGGGGGGAGGGGAGAAAAAGGGATTTTGGGGAGAAAAGGGATTTTTTTTTCAATCATTAGCCATATTCACCCATAGGCAACACTTATATTGCCTAAGAAAAATGGCCTCTCTCAACTGGCTCTTTGTTAAGAGAGAGAGGGGATGATTGTATGCGTGAGCAAGTGTGGTATTTGGTTAATTCTAAAGATCATCAATTCCAGGACTTGAATGCTGCTGTTGGCTGCTTATCAGTAAATCTGGAACTACTTTCCACATTCTGATCTGCCCTCACTCAATTCTTTAGACTCAGACTCTGGGGGTATTGACAATATGTTTAAATAAATGTTAACAATTAACTGTGACATTATTTTCCTAGAAAAGCCAATGGACATGGGTAAGGAAAATGAGTAAGTAGTTTGGAATGTGGGGACACAGGTGACTGTCTCTAGATGATGAATCTTTCTATGAATTATCACGCAACAGGTACCCAATATATGATATCGTTACTACATATAGCGTATAATATTCATTTTAAATGCAGCAAATTATCCCAGGTTTCCCTTTCATCTTTTCAGCATTGAAAATTGCTTAGAAATGTCTTTCAGACACATTTCTCTTCCTTTCATCCCCACTGTCATCACTCTTGCTCAGATCTTCATAGCCTCATGCTAGGCCTACTTAAATAGCTTTCCAACGAGGCTCCATTGCTTTCACCCTCACTCAGCTCAATCCATTAAACACCAAAGCTAGATAAAATTTCTAAGTAATCTATGTCATTATGTCTTTCTTTGGCTCAAAAACAAGAACCCTTCCAATGATTTCTCACTGTAAATATGATGAAATTCAAATTCTTCAATCTGAAGTTCAAGGTTGGCCATCATCTTTGCCAACTTAACTAATCACATCATGTCCTCCGATTCACCAGCACAAACCCTGTGCCCCCATAAAGCCTGTTTCTTCACTGTGTACCATAACATGGCACCTGTTTTCCAGGCCTTTTGCTTCTTTATGCCCTGAATCACTCCTCTTCCAGTTATAGAAAGTAGGCATGGCTGAAGCCACACTTCGTATATACTCTGCAAGGCAGACAGATTCTGCAGCTTTTCAATATGGCCCTCTGCTGGAATTTGCTCTTATCATTCTCCTAGTTCCTGAATAAAATCCTTTATTTTCCTTCAAGGCTCAACTCAGGGGCTGCCTCCTTAAGGCGACTAGATGATATAGTGCATAGTGGGCTGAACATGGAGTCAAGAAGACCTGAGATCAAATTGGGCCTCAGATACTTGCTAGCTCTATGACCCTAGGCAAGTCACTTAACTTTTTGCTGTCACAGAATATTCATTTACAGAAGTGGAGGTGATAATAGCACCTTTTCTACAAGGTTGCTGTGATTATCAAATGAGATGAGAGGGAGCTAACAAACATTTTTTAAGTGCCTGCTATGTGCCAGGAACTGTGCTAAGTGCTTTACAAATATCTCAGTTGAGTCTCATAACAACCCTGGAAGGTGATTGTTGTTGTTCAGTCATTTCATTTGTATCTGATTCTATGTGACCCTGTTTGGGACTCCATACTGGAGTAGTTTGCCGTTTCCTTCTCCAGATCATTTTACAGATGACAAAACTGAGGCAAACAGAGTTAAGTGACTTGCCCAGGGTCACACAGCCAGATTTGAACTCATGAAGATGAGTCTTCCTGATTCCACTGTACTGCCTAGCTGTCTACTCTGGGAAATAGGTACTATTATCATCCTCATTTTATAGTTGATGAAACTGGGGCAAATAGAGGTTAAGTGATTTGTTCAGGGTCATACAGAGAGAAAGTATGTGAGACTGGTGGTTCTCAGGTTCTCTAGATTCTAGGTCCAGGTCTTGGTTCACTGTACCACCTACAATATCGCAAACAAGAGATCAGCCCAGTCTTTGCTTGAAGATCTCCAGAAGGGGGAAGCACCAAGTCTTGAAGAAGTTCATTCTACTTTTCAGAAATTCAGTTAGAAAGTTTTCCTAACATGGAGCCTCAATCTGTCTTTCTACCCATTTGTTCTTGATCTGTCTCTTGCCTACCTCCTAATCCTCCCTTTTTCATTCAGTATATCTTTTACCACTACCCCAAACCAATCAGTCATCCATCCAAGATGTCAATTTCCTACTGATTCCTCTGGTCCTTTTTTGCAAGGTACTTATGCATAGTAGGTACTTAGTGGAATATCTGTTGAATTTATTTGAATTTCAGAGTTCCAATTTGAAACATTTGATTATATCCTTCTACTAGGTCAATGGTAATTTTAAAGTCGTATCTCTCTATGTAGTCAAATCCAATTTGATTCAATTCAACTCAATAAACATTTAAGTTAATGTAAATATCTCTCACTGCAATTTAACCCCTTGCTTTTGTTATCAACCACGATGGAGGACAAATGTTCATCATTTCTATGTGATAACAATCTAAGAAAGTCATAGAGTTAATAGCTACGTGATTACTAGTGCGAACTTGTTGTTCGTGGGGGTTGTTGTTTCAAAACTGGTTACATTGGCTTTCCGGGGCAGTATAGGCAAAACATCTGGATGATTGAGTCTTTATCAGACCTAGTTGAATGGGTCAGATATTTTACCATTATATAGACAGTCATATTTTGAAGGGAAGTTCACCCCTCTTGGGACTCCAAAGCCATTTAGTCTAAGTCCCTCATTTTGTACATGGGAAAGTAAATTCCCTTTCAACTCTAACGTTCTAGGAGTCTCAGTGGGACTGATTTGAGTCTTATCTGCGTTATGCATCTTAACTGGCAAAGTACAGGAGACAATGACAAGAAGACTGTGGAAAGATAATATAAGGATTCAAGTATAAGGGAATATGATATGGCGGAAAGGGCACTGGATTTGGAGTCAAAGGTCTGGTTTCAAATGCTGTTTTGTCATTGAGACACTTAACCTCTCTGGCCTTCACTTCCCTCATCTGTAAAATGAAGAAATTGGATGAGATTGCCTCTTAAGGCTCTTCCAGTTCTGCGTTTATGATCCTGTACTTGATAAGATAAAACCTTCTTGAACTTTTGAGCAGGGGACTAGGGGAATAAACCAAAGACTTTTGTCAACTTTGATTTGAAGAACTCATCATGGATTCTATATGTTACAGGGAGGATTAAAAGCAGTTGTGTGGACAGATGCATTCCAAATGGTTGTCATGGTGGGAGGGTTCTTGATGGTTCTTATACAAGGAACAGCATATGCTGGCGGATTTCAGAATGTATTAGACCAATCAAAAAACGGCTCACGACTTGAAATATTCAGGTACGTCTAATATGATTTTATTCTGTTTTGGGTTACTTTTTCTTATTGCTTACAATATCATCTTGGAATCATGGAACATGACCTGATCTATGAATGTCTCTCTCATAGCTTTGATATGGATCCATTGAGAAGGCATACGTTCTGGACGATTGCTATCGGAGGAACCTGTACATGGCTAGGCATCTATGGTGTTAATCAATCCACGATACAGAGATGCATCTCTTGCAAAACAGAAAAGCATGCCAAGGTGTAAGTTGGTCTTCATTATTGTTACGATTATCATCATCATAATGTATTTATTGAACACTTACTATCTGCCTGAGCTGCATGTATTAAGTATCTTCTTTACACAAGCTAAGTGTTCAGGCATAAGACATTCTCTATGAGATCTAAGAGCTTCTTCCAATGAGATTGAAGAGATGGATCATATGGAAACAGCAGTAAACTAGGAGCTCCTTAAGAGCAGGGATCATTTTGTTCTTGTCTGTGTGTTACTAGCACCTAGGATATTACACAGACTATAGACACAGAAATATATATGTGTGTACACACACACATCTATCTATCTATATATATAGATATACATGTGTGTATGTGTGTAATATATATAATTTACTTAAATTACTTATTAATTTAATTACTTAATAAATATATACATATTTAATACATAAATAATAAATAAATATAAATAATAAATTAAAAGATTAAATTAAAAATAGGCAATTAAACTATTTATTAAATGATAGTCGAGATTAAAATCAAGACTGATGTTTGAGTGATAGCTCTGCCAATTACTGGTTGTATGACTTCACTTCTCAGTTTCCTCCTCTGGGAAATGAGAGGGTTGGAATAGATCTTCTTCTTGTGTCAGTGTTCTGTGAAGCTATGATTTATTGTAATCTAATAATTGCTGAAGTAGCAGAGATATTTTCAGGTGCCAGGAATTTGGGGAAGGGAAATTGGGCTAGGGCAGATGTAAAAGTTTACCAAAGGGGGTGTAGCTTGATATGCTTTCTAAAGGGCAGGACTTAGATGATTTTGAGGATGGGGGTAGACCCTCCTTCTCCCCCTCCTCAAGAAAGGCAGCAAAGAATGTTGGCAAAAATGGACATGTCACACATGGTCAGGGGACAATGGGTAGACCAACGAAATAGGAATTAAGAGTCTTTGAGGTGTAGTGGGAAATTGTTAGGATCTAGTAGATATTTTTCTAGTTGATAAGCTTTTGATTTGACTAGCATACTTCTGAAGTGATTTTTAGCAGATTATCCATTAACGACCTCTTTATCAGAAGCAATGATGAAAGGATTGCAGAATTTTAGATCTAGACTAGAAGAGATCTCAGTAACTGGTTCAATCCTTTTATTTTCAGGTGAGGAAACTGAGGCCCAGAGAGGTTAACAAATTTGCCCAGTCACAAAGGTAGCAGGTAGCATAGCTGGAATTCAACTTCAGGTCAGAGGGTAATAGAATAATAGATTTGGGATTTTATAAACATCTACTCCAAAAATTTCCCCATTTCCTCATCAGATAAGGAAACTCAGGGCCAGAAAGTTTAAGTGACTGGCTCAATGTCACACAGGTAATAAGGGGACCACCTTGATTTTTTTTTTCAAGGCTGTAGTATTAATTTCATCATATAGACTACAAGAGTATAGACACAGCTAACAAGTTGTCTTTATATACTATTTCATACACACTAAAGGTGTCTAAATTACATTGGGATTTGACACTGTTAAACCCTGAGATTTGTCACTGTTATTGACACCATTCTAAGAAAAATCTCTTTAAAGATCTACTTCACTTTATATAACATGCTGTGTTCTTGAAAAGTTGTGTTTCAAATGGATTTTTGTTTAATCAAATTACATCTTGGATGCATTAACTGGACTTTCTATTTAAAAGATAACTGTGCTGAAAACATTTGAATAGTAAAGAATTTTCTGGCAAAAAAAAATCTTGAGTTATTTGTTTGGTGAATCTGAATTTTTCGCATTTTGGATTTATCTAGTATTATGGTTAGGAAAATCTTACCCCCTTCTCCTCCTCTTCTTCTTCCTCCTTCTCTTCCTCTTCTTCTCCTATCACTACTCCTTCTACCCCTTTCTTCCTCTTCTTAATTCTAAAACAAACAGAAAAACATTTCTAAGCCTCATTCTTCAGTAGCTGACTTCTTTGAAGCATTATCTTATCCAGCAAAATTCCACAAAGGGATCTTCATAATACCTAAGAGATTGTTTTTTTTTAAAAATAATGTTTAATCTATATGAGGCTGTTTCTAAAGGTCATAAATGAAGTGCTCACCTAGACGGGAAAATCTATTTCCTTTAAGTAGCAGATGGATGGGGGCAGCTAGGTGGCACAGTGGATCGAGCACCAGGCCTGAAGTCAGGAGGACCTGAGTTCAAATGTGACCTCAGACCAAACACTTGACACTTACTAGCTGTGTGACCCTGGGCAAATCACTTAACCCCAATTGCCTAAAAATAAATAAATAAATAAATAAATAAGTAGCAGATGGATGACCACTTATTAAGGAAGTGCTCCTATTTCAGATGGAGGTTGGACTAGATGACCTCTGAACTCCCTTCTGACTGAGATTGTATGACCTCCAATGATGGAATCCTTTCATTCCATTAAGGCATCTCATTCCACTTTGGAACAGTTTTGATTATTTATTTAATGTTATTTTTAAAACTTTAACTATATTTATATAATTATAATTCTATATCATTACATTAATAATTATATTGTTATTACTTAATTATTAGAAGGGTCTTCCTTATATTTAGCTGAACTTCATCTCTTTATAATCTCTAGACATTGGTTCTGGTTCAGTCTCCCAGAGGCAAGCAAAACAAATCTAATACCTCTTATGCATGAGAACTATCAAATATTTTAACATAGCTATTATCTTTCCTAAATGTTCTTTTCTCCAGTTAAAATAAAAATCCTCCATCCGTTTCTTATATGACATTGGTTTAAAGCTTCTTGCCTTGCTAGTGACTCACCTCTGGGTATAGTTGACCTTATCAACGTCTTTCCTGAAAGATGGCGCCCAGAACCAGATACGCTCCCAGCTGTGTGATTCGTTCAAAGCCCCTCGTGAATAGTGCTCTACAGGTTACTAAGTGTTTTAAGATGTACGTTACCTTCTTTGGTCCTCACACCAGCCCTGTGAGAATGGACTCCATTATAAGGGATACTGACAGGCCTCTCATCTTCTCTCTTCCAGTGCTCTGTATCTTAACTTAATTGGTCTCTGGATAATTATGTTCTGCGCAGTCTTTTCAGGCCTGATCATGTATTCTTACTTCAAGGACTGTGACCCCTGGACTGCTGGCCTAATCTCATCACCGGATCAGGTATGGATGCCAACAAGGTGGGTTGCCAGCAGGGACCAGATGGGGTAGGTTTGTAGCTCATTTCTAGGTGAGCCACAAAAGACATGAAAATCAGGAAAGGGGAGCATGGTATAACAGAAAGACCTTTGTCCTAAGAGCCTAGAAATGAAGGCTCCAATAGAAACTCTGCCATTGACTTATGCTGTGACTTTCAGCAAGGCATTTGCTCTCCACAGGCCTCAGTTTCCTCATATGTAAAATGAAACAATCAGACTAGACTATCTCTAAGATGGCACCTAGCTCTTAAATTCTGTGATTTATGAGTTCTGCAGTTGTTTATGCTGTCTGATGTGGAGAGGTATGTCTGAGAAAAATGTTAAGGGGCAGCTAGGTGGCATAGTGGATAGAGCTCCGGCTTTGGAATCAGGAGGACCTGAATTCAAATCTGGCCTCAGACACTTGACACACTTACTAGCTATGGGACCTTGGGCAAGTCACTTAACCCCGATTTTCTCACCAAAAAGCAAAAAAGAAAAAAAAAAGAAAAGAAAAATGTCAGCCACTTGGGTCTTTTAAAAATTTTATTCATATCTTTTGTTTTACATCAATTTCATTTCAAGTAAGTGCTTTCCTCCTCCCCTAGCTGCAAAGTTGCCCCTTATAGCAAGAAAAAGAAAGGAAGGAATTAATGAAGGAAGGAAGGAAGAAAGAAAGAAAGAAAGAAAGAAAGAAAGAAAGAAAGAAAGAAAG